GGCGGGCGCGGGGTGAGCGGGGCTTGCAGCCGTGCGGGGAGGCCGGGGGGGGGCAGGGGGATGCCTCTCGGGGCCCGGTTGCGGCTCTGCTGCCTGCACAGACCGGGCTGGGAGCAGCCAAATAGCCCCCACCCCACCAGCCAGAGCCTGACTCAGCCCATTGCTGTCATGAGCTGCGTCCAGCCACAGCCCTCCCCCCCACAGGTTTTCCTCTCCCTCTTTTTTTTTGAGGGGGTCCTCTTTGGTTCTGGGGGGTGCAGCCAAGCATTGGGGTGCACTTGGTCCTTGCACGGGTACTTGGGGCCTGTGTGAGCGTCCGCACTGGTGGGGTCAGATGCTGCGGTGACGACTGGGGCGTCATGCTTTGCCAGCCCGGTGGCCCAGGACAGCTGTGGTTCAGTTCGGCCCAGCCCAAGGGTGCAACTCTGCCTGCCTCCAGGCTTCAACTCTCTGTCAGTTCATTAGTGATGGGAAACTCAGATGCTGGCCTTATTCCAAAAGCACCTTGATGCCCACCTTGTTGGGATGGTCTGACCCCAGCAGTCTTTCCTGCCAAGTGCAGGGGGGCTGGACCTGATGGTCTGTAAGGTCCTTTACAGCCCCTAACAACTATGAAACTGCACTGAGACTTGATGGAGGTTTCAAACATGCTTTATCGTTGTCTTTCCCCACCCCGCTGCAGAGATCCGTGGCCTTCTGCTCAGTCCACGCTCGGTTGGAGTCTCTGTCCCCCTGCAGCTGACGCCCGTTCTTTGATTTCTACAGCCACTCTTGTCACTGCCGAGCCTTAGAGCAACATCTGCAAAGGTACTTGGGCATTACAAGATCTGACCTCTGGGTATCTGCCACTAAATGCAATTCACAGTCTTGAGTTAGATGCTTAGGTACCCCAGAAGGTACTTGGGGGCAATTAGGCTCCTACAGGCAGGATTTTCAGAAACGAGTAAGATGAGTGAAGAGCTGCATGAACTTGCCCATAGGAAAGGCCAGAGAGAGGGGCAGGGCCTCAAATGTAGTTAGGCATCTGTTTCTACTTGTGATTTCCAACTGTGATCTCAGCCCTCTAGTTAGATGCTTAAGACAGGTCACCCATTCTTCTGAAACCCATGGGAGACCTAACTCTTTTGGGCCCAAAGCCCCAGTGTTTCAGACCATGGACCATCGTTGTGCCTGATGTTGAAGTGAGGGATTAACCCAAAGGCTCTCATATCCCGTCTGAGTGCCTGATTCACCAGATTACAGACTCTTTCTCTTGCCTACTCTTTTTCTTTCTATCTGTTATATTCAATATAGTATAAAACAGAACAGCTTCAACAGGCAAGCTCTTCCCACCACCTGATAGCTTCATAGTTAGAGCACTCTCATGATGCAGGGGAACCTGGGTTAAAGTCCATGCTTCAAGTTGAATGGAGAGGGGAATGAATCCTGGGCCTTACACACCCCAGAAGAGTGTTGTTGTAAGCTCTTGGCCTTTTACATACCATACTGTAATAAGATGTACAGCCTCCAAAATTTTTATCTGTGGCGGGTTTTTATGCAGGACTTGATCTGGTAAGTGTGCTCTGCAGGCGACCAGATTGGGACCTGTACTGATAAATAGAAGAACACCTAGTTTAAGAATCCTATAGAAGTTTATATGTGAACAAGTATTTCAAGCTACTTGGCAATATTAGGACTTACACTATATGCACTAGGAGCCCCAGAGCTTTTCTGTCAGAAACATACATAGTGACTTTAGATAGCACTTGAGTGAGAGTTGTGAGGATTTAAGTGGTGTTTTTGAATTCTTAAATTATTTTGAAGGTTAAGCTTAGGCCCAAATCACCAAAAAAACTAGGCATTTCTATACTAGGCAGGACCATGGTCTACCTAGTTTAGTTTTTGGGTTGTTTCTGATGATGGCTAATACCAATGCTACTGTTTAATCATATGTTATATGACAAAATGATATGTATTATTTTTTAATTTCCTTGAAAATTCATGTTTTCCCTGATTTCTCTATGCTTAATAGTGTTGTTTAATTTGTAATGTGTATTTGAGTGTGTATTTAACATGTTTGTGTGCTGCTGTATATAGATGAGATGCAGATTCAGCTGTAAGGTATGTCAGGGTCAAATGGGAATTTTGCCACTAACTTTCGTGGGCTTTGGCATGTAATCCACCTTCCACTGAAACAGTGGAAAGACCCCCATCGGCTTTTTAAAGGCCAAATTGTGCTGTTAGAAAACATGGCATTCTTTAGACCTTCGGAAGAAATTGTCAGTCATTTAAATCTCTAGCAAGAGCAGAGATTTATTAAGATAATATTACAAATTCTTCATGAAAATTACCACAAGTACTTTCTTGGTTGTGTAATCTTCATAAGCTTTTTTGTATAGGTCTAATTTGTATGTAAAGTTTATTGTAATGGTTTAGCAACAAGAAGAAACCACTACTAATTCTATAAAAGTGTCAACACAAAAAACAAAAGTCAAACTGAACAAAACCACTAAAATTAAAATTAAACAAACACTAACCCAAACTGAATGTATCTTGTAGTCTGAAGCTGTCTAGATATGAGCCATGATGCATAATAATCATTAACTGGGTAATAAGTGATGAGAAGGATTGCTTTTAAAGTCCTACTTTGTCTCTGGTTTTAGATGGTCCCAAAGCTAAATCAGGGATTCTAGATTGAACTCCCTCTTAGAAAAACTCCTTTCCTTTCTGCTCCTAGAGACATATCATGCTTTATACAAATTAGCTATGTGGTCCTTTTTTATTGTTTTTTATGACTTGGTGACTTGAGGTCTTTGTATGAAAAGGTATCACTATATACTGTGCATTAGTTTGCTTATATAATGTTTAGCTTTCAGTAGTGCTAAAACCCCAAAGGAATACCTCAGTAATGAAGTGCCTTATTATAATAGTGTGCCATTCTCAGTAATGGGATAAAACATGTGCTCTTCAGAAACTGCAGTGCAGTTTTTGTATGGTTTTGTTTGAAAGAAACAATGAAATGTATCACTTTGCAGAAAGCCTGTTTTAAATAAATCGTGCACAGCTTTTGATACAACTCAATACAGAACCAAGTGGTATCTCTCAGCTGTTTCTTATACCTATCACAAAGTAAATTTCTATTTGGTAAATTTAACAAATACCTAACTTTTCCCCCATTTAAAAATCTTGTTTTCCCATCCCTATTAAAAGTTTGTGCCTTGAGGCCTGCCAGCAGGGCTTGCAATACCTACATTAAACCAAATTTAAAAGTAAGGGTGCTCCTGCTGCTAACGTCCTCAGATCACAGACATGCAAAATGAAGGAAGTGGCAGCTGAAACTTTAATGGTGGGAAGAGCAGACTGAATACTTGGGGGGGAAACAAAGTAGCTCTATGTGACAAAAAAGTCCTATTAGCATTGATGTACTTCAGAATGACAAGCCAGTCTGTTCTATATAATGAGGGGAGGGGTTCTTTTCAGTTTTGTTTTGCATAAGTAAAATCCTTTGTTCATATACCTTTACTTAAGGTTATTAATTTAAATGATTGTTGCTATTATTTATCATTTTGTAGGTTAATACAAAGTCTTTTGTTTCAATATGTTTCGCACTAGGTGTTTTATTATAGCTGCAGTATTCCTATTAATTTAATAAGGTGCTATTCATATTTGAGGTTCCAGATAATTGGGGGAAAAAAATCACTCCAGGTCTGACTTTGAACTCAGATATATCAGGTGCCCTCAAATATATTGGGAATATCCCAGTACAGGGATGTAAAACCAATGTACAATTATCAGAATCAGTCCCAAAGCTGTAACTTTCAAAGACCCCATCCTTTAAGACTGATGCACATTTATAAAGTGCAAAAATCTTTGCAGAATTGTGGCCTAATTTTGCTCTCAATGTAACAAAACAGAAACAGACAGTAGTTGAAGAAAGACAAAAGAATGGGTCTAAAGATAGTGATTTTACATCATACGTATGTAATTCTTTTTTTAGTTCAAAATGAGTATATTGCCTCCTGTGATGATCCAAAGCCCAAAGAGGCATCCCAGCTTCCTAGAGAAGATGGTTTGCTCTTCATCAAAACTTGCAAGGTATGTGAGTATTTATCTTTCTTCAAAGACATTTTTTCTGTAAGTAGCCTCAGTCACAAACCTTAGAGAAAAATTGTAGTTTGGTTAGGTTGTTGGGGGGTTTTTGGTGGGGGGGATATATAAAAAAGTAAAGTTTAAAGACGTGGAAAGTTAAAAATGGCAATAGGAAATCCAATTGTCTTTTTAGAAACAAAGATAAAAGCTTAAATGATCTTGTCATTTAAATTATATTAGAATATTATTCTGATATCATTGTATTATATTTGTGTATCATATCATATAAAAATAAAAATAAAAAAGCACACAAACACAAATAACTACAACCACATAATTTTTTAAGTCATCATAATTTCATAGGCTGTGAATTGGGAGGATATATTAATCAAGGTCAGAGATAAAAGGCATGTTAAGATGGCTTGGAAGGGTTCTGGCAGGGGAGAAGACAAGTTCTGGGGAACTGTGGTGGGGTGTTACTGGAGAAAGGAACTGTAGTGAAGACAAGGGAAATGGTAACAAAAGAATCTTATTAAGGTCTAAAGCAAGTGGGAGATTCACAAGAGTCTAGACTACATTGTAAATGATCCACCTCCCCCCTATGCTCCTCAGTCAACCACACTTGAACAAAGTGGAGAGGCTGCCCCATTGCATGATCGGAGGCTGGAAAGCTCTATATGAGCTACTGAAACACTTAAACTTCGGAACATTTCACTAGCTTTTATCCAGCCAGTTCAGATCTGGCTGAAGTTGGGTTGTACAGGCTGAGCTAGGTAAAGAGGCTGCCTCAAGTGCATGAGAACATGGTTGAACCCAGAAATAGATTTAAGGAGGACCTAAGGGAGGGAGACAGAAGCAAAAAAATGAAAGAAGGCACCAATGCTTTTGAGTCAGGTCTAATAAGAAGATGCCAAAGCAAAAACAATGCCAAAGAAACCTGGTGGTACCAACCTCTTTTGCCTCAGCATACTTCAGATTGCTTGAAAGCTTTCTTGATATTTTAAACAATATCTTGAATTTGTATTGAGGGCCGTTAATAATTTTACTGGATATTTTTCAAATATGGAGTTAAAATATTTAGTAACTCCATATTTAGTAACTTCATAATACTGAGAAAACTCAACTCTTGAGTTAACAGTGGAGGGGTAACACAAAATTAGATAAATTTTAAATTGTAGGCATAGCCCTTTATTCTTTGTGTGACTTGTTTTATTGTATGATACACAGACCTGGTTTGTCGGTCTTGTTGTAGTTAACATGACTAAAGAATCTTTCAGGAGAAATAATTGGATAATTTTGCTTTATCAATCTATATAGCAAACACTTGTATAAATAGGAAGTGTAAAATGCTAGCAGGTATGTAATGGCCATCAATAAGAAGACTGCAAAATTCTCTTGGACGTAATAAAGAGATCAGTTTTAAATTGACCGTAGTCTATCTTACAGGCAAAGAATTGCTTTAAATAATCTGTTTATTAAATGTGGGGACTCATTATGGCAATAGTGGAGAATTAGAGCTGAAGCTAATTAGTAAAACAAGTGACAACCTCTGGAACAAAAGTGAAAGTGCCTGTTGCCAAATGCTTTTCCCAGCACTATTTCACTGTTATGATACAAGTGAAAATTCTAAGTAACTGCATATGATACTTAAATGTGCTGTTCTGTGACTGTTTCTAAAACAACCTCCATTTTATATCAATGCATTTTACTGATAATAGTTTATAGTAGGAGTTTTGTTCTTTTTCTTTTTGTTGTAATTTAATTTTTCTTTTTGCTTTTTGGAGCATAAAGTAATATAGTCTATCTGTCTTTTCTTTCTTCCTGGAGCACCAGTATTTTTGATGATATCAAGACAGGTCTGAAAGAAGTCTTTATTAATTTCAGTAGTATGATTATTCTTTTTAGGATAGATGGCTGTCTTTAATACAGTAAAAGATATTGTAGGTCTTACTTAAGCAGTAATTGATATACAAGTTGTCTGTTCTTTTTTTAGTTCCTGGTGGTAGCTGATTGTTAGTTGAAGTCTGTAGGATGTTCCCCATCATATCAGCATATTATTAAATCGAGTGAACACAAATGTCCTTCTAAATTGTAATTTTGTGATTCAACTCTTTTTATACTCTTGTGTGGTGTTAATATATTCTCAAAAAAGCAGAGAAGGGGCAACAGACTTTCCATTCATCTGACCAAGGATTACATTTACATCACAATGTAAATTAAACTGTAATTACAATTTTGCTACTTTGTGTTTTCTATTTTATTTTTTTTCATACATGAAGTTAGAAGTTAGGGGGCTGTGGAAGGAGGCGGAAGAGAGAGTTTTCTTCATCAGACCTGAGGTGCAGAGGTCTTTTTTATATAGTATACAGTGTGTGTCTATTATGTGTTATCTAAGTATGTCCCTATGTACTTTAAAACAACTTGTTTTTAACTACATAGACACAAACTGCTTTTCAAGTACATATTTTTTATATGTACTTAGATAAACACATTACATCTTGCAGGGTTTTTATTTAATATAATTGTCTTAGTATCTCCCTTTATTTAGACTGTCTTAGTTTGAGTTGGAGATTTGTCATTTGGATTATACTTGATTGATTATCTCCTCTCTTTCCTATGCACTTTTATGTTATCAGCACCATGTTCAATACACGTTTTCTTTCCATCTACCAGCATAAATTTAGCTTCATAGTTCACTAGTTTAAATGTGCAAAGTGCAGAAATTCTTAGATCTGTAGTTCAAACAGCAGGTGCTAATCATGAAATTAATGTGAATACCTGGCATATCCCTAAAAATGTCCACTATTATACTATTTTGAATTTAATATGATACATTTTCTAAACAGATTACTGTAACGCTTTTTCATATCTCATATTTACCCCAAACTAACAGTCTTCAAATTTAAGATGACCCCCTGATAATTAGATCCTATACACGCAAAGCTAGAAATCTGTTATAATTTTCCATGTCTAGAATCTCATTATTCGAGGGTTGTCTTAAATTCACCCTCACCACCACCTCTGCTGAAGTGAAGAAAGCAGAGGCAGGGGTACAAACAGTGGAGAAAGCAGCAGTGGGAGGGTAGGCAGCCTCAGCCTGCCCCTTGCCCCCTGGTCCAGTACCTACACACCCTGGTAGTTGCCCCCCTGCCATCTGTCCTCCTTGCCACTTGCCCCCTGGTGTCTGCTTTCCTGATCATTTGCATCCCCCTGCCACAACTTGGTGCTTGCCCCCCCAGGCACCTGCCCCCACACCATGTAATCTCCCCTGTATTCCCCTCACCTACACTGCCCCACACTCTCCCCCTGGCATTATGCAGTTTCTCCTCAACTCCTCCTCTGTGTACACACACACACACACACACACACACACACACAC